AGTTCTAACAGGTCCAGATGGTAGTCTACAGAGGCTGCTGTAGACTACCATCTGGACTTGTTAGAACTGATCCATTTCAAAGTTAATCTTTCACTAGCTTAGTTCCTTCGAGACATATATGTATGTGTATATTCACATAAAAATGTGTGTGTGTGTACGTGACTTATAAGAATGCACTTAAACCTTTATTAAACTCAAGAATAAATGACATTACACGTGGTGCAAAGGTAGAACATTAACACTTTCTGACTTACGTGCAATTATAGAAAGGTGAAAACCTTCATCTAATTAATTCTGCTTGTAACTGCTACAGCTCGTGTTTTGTAATAGAGGGGAACCTATTCAGTAACTGTGGACTACCATCTGGACTTGTTAGAACTGATCCATTTCAAAGTTAATCTTTCACTAGCCTAGTTCCTTCGTCAGCCTGAGAGAGAGAATGAGATATAAAAATGTCACTTGTGGTACTGTTTCTACCAAATTGTTAGCTAATTATTCAGCTGTCACTTTTTCATAATATTTGGTCCAGCCAAACATCAGGAAAATGGAGAAAGAGTAAAATAAATTGGACATTATGTTTTTATTTTAATAACGCCTAATTCTTAACTAGCCCATTACAGGTATATCAGATATATATATATAAAAAAAAACTATGTTGAAAAGATTTTTTCCGCTTTTATTATCTGCCACAATTATTGAAGAATTTGTAGGTTATTCAGGGTTTACAGATTTTTTTTTCTCTCCTGAAACATGTATTTTAAGTGGATGTTTTTTCGTACTTTTTCGTCAGGTTTAGGCCTAGTGATAGACTGTAGATCCAAGAATCTCTGTTTCGTGTTCTGTTGTAACTAAAAACTCCTGCTCCGCATTTTGGGGAGGTGAGTGTGTTATTAGAGTGACAGTCAAATCCCACGATTCGATTAGAATAACCCAACAGTTTGCGTTGGTTGCTGTTGAGTAGTTGCCTTCCCTACAGTCTGTCCGTTCAAACTTATAGCCCTTGATTAGTTTTGACCGAAACAACCTAACCCTAAACGCTGAAGTTTAAGATAGTTTTAAATGTTAACACCAGGTTATATTCTCAATAAAAATGTTTTAATAAAGAAATTAAAATGTTACTATGGTATATTTATATACTGAATAGAGAGGGCAATAAGTGTGATTAATATTTTACAAAAACAGTAAACATAAAAATTAAAATAATAATATCAATAATAACACACATACATATATATATATATCTTAAAGTATAAAAGGTTACAGTTTTACCTCTGGGTAGTTTCTTGAAAGATTAAAATAACACAAAAATATATCACCAAACACAACATGTGATAGTGGGATATACATTAAAAAAAGGTGCGCGCGCTTGAATGTATATATATATATATTTATCAATTTCTATCGTTTCAATTGTTTGTATGTATTGTTATACACGTATGTTTGTTACATTGTCACGTCACGCGACCTTCGATTTAGAATGCTTACGTTTACGGATTTACTGATCAGTTAGTGATACCCGAAGAAGGGCATTGCCTGAAATGTTGTATCCACAATTATATATATTAAACTATATATATATATATATACACACTGAGTGGTCACAAGTAAATAGCCACCTTATTTTTCGTCATTTAACTGATTTATGCTAACTAATTT